GGAGGAAGGAGGAGGAGGAGGAGGAGGAGGAGGAGGAGGAGGAGGAAGGAGGAGGAGGAGGAGGAGGAGGAGGAGGAGGAAGGAGGAGGAGGAGGAGGGGAGGAGGAAGGAGGAAGGAGGAGGAGGAGGAGGGGGAGGGACAAGCGGTGGCCTCGGGCGCCCCAGCTGGGGCGCGCCGCCCCAGACCTGCAGCCCCTCGGGGCGGACGCTGCGTTAGGTTTGCGCGTGTTCGCCGACTCTGTTGGGTGTTCTCTCTCTCTCTCTCCTCCTCCCCCCTCCTCCCCCCCTCCTCCTCCTTCTCCTCCTCCTCCTCCCCCTCCTCCTCCTCCGTCTCCTCCTCCTTCTCTCTCTCTCTCTCTCTCTTTATATATAAGGTGTTTTCTAGCAGCTGCGCCTCGTCGGGAGCGCCCCGGGGGCGCTGATCGGTACGACAGACGGGGTACGGAGAGAAAGGGAAGGGAGACCGACCCTGCACATCTTGAGCAGGACTCGCTGTGGGTGTCGCCGCGGACGTTGTCCATTTGATGCCAACTATAGCCGGAGTACAGCAATCTCCAAACAGCCCTTTCTGAGCCAAGTTCCCAAGTAGTTCCTCAGAGTGGTCGCGCATCCTCCTGCTCCTGATCCGCCTGCGCCTTCGGCGTCGTCGTCGAGCTCTTCGGCATCGTCGTCGTTGTCGTCGTCCTCCTCCTGCTCCTCCTCCTTCGCATCCACGTCATTATCTTTCTCGCCGCCCTCGCCCTCACCCCTTCCATTACACCTCATCATCATCCCTTTCCTCTCTTCCTCCCATCCCTCCTCCTCCTGATATTCCTGGTCCTGTTCCTCCCGTTCCTCCTCCTCCTCCTTCTCCTTCTCCTTCTCCTTCTATACATACCTCCCACTCCTCCTCGTTCCCTCTTCATACGAATCCTCCTCATTCTCCTGGTGGTATTCCTCGTCGTTTTCTCCTCCTCCCCCTCCCCCTCCTCCTCCTCCTTCTCCTCCTCCTCCTCCTCATCATCATCATCATCATCATCCTCAAACTCCAGCCCCCCATCGCACTCCTCATGTTCTTTTCCCTCATCCTGCTTCTCCTCCTCCTGTTCGCAGTGCTCCTCCTTGTTCTCCTCGTACTCTTCCTCGTTCTCCTCGTCCTCCTCTTCCTCCTCCTCTTCGCAGTGCTTCTTCACCTCCTGCTCCTCCTCGCAATGTTTCTCCTCCTCCCCCCTCGTCCTCGCATTCCTTCTCCCCCCCTCCTCCTCGCCCTTCCGTGCTTTTCCTCCATTTCCTGCTTCTCTTCGCTTCCTCCTCCATGCCAGGGGTGCCTTCGCACTCTCGGTGCCGCTTCCAAGAGGCTTTCTTGCAAGGGATGCCCTCAAACAGGTAGCTTGGGCCTGGTCCTGTCTCTCTCCTTCATTATTCCTTGTTCCTCCTCCCTTTCTCCTGACACAGCCTGCCTTCTCCCTGGTCGCCGGAGACATCCTTGCAACTCTGTGCGCTGACGACCGGATTTCTGGCCCTGGGGTGGCCCATTTTTTCGCAAATCCCCCCCGTCGCAACCCAACTAGCCCCCTCTGGGCTCCGGATCCGCCTTGAGGTCTTGGTGACCCTTTCGGCCTGAAGAGGGTTCCGAGCTGGTTCAGGAGGACGCCCGCTGGCCGCCAAGATGGCCCCTCGGCGGCCCCCAGAGCCACAAAATGCCCCAGTGGAGCTTCCAAAAGGCACCCCAAAATGACCTCAGAGAGCCATCAACGCGAAAGCCATTCAGGTTTCTCCATATTCAGTAAATCTCGCGCTCTTCGCCTCCAGATGACTTCGGGAGAGGTTCACATGGCCCCCAGGCTCGAGACGGCCCTTCGAAGAAGAGCCCAAGTGGGCCCCAAGCGGGCCCCAAGGCCTGCACGGCAGCCAGAACAGGAAGATCCCCAAGACACCCCTACACTCCGAGCCGGCCCACTGAATATTCAATATCTCCCCACGCCAGCCCTGAACAGCTCGAAGGCCCCGCATACTTCCAAGCAAGAGGATGCCGTCGATAAGAACGAGAAAAGAAAAGCCAGGACAACCGAGAGAGATTGGAGGGTTAACGAGGCATGATGTATGAGGAATGTTGGAGGACGAAGGGGCAAGGCATGGAATGGGCTGGTCCGAAAAACACGCACAGCGAACAACGCCATGGCATGCGCTCGAACCCAGGCGCGCGCGAAGCGCGCGCGCGGTTCTAGTACATGTATATATATATATATAGATATATCTATATATGGATACATATAGAAATATGAAGACAACGACACCTTGCCAAGGCGATTAGCGAACTGCTGCACTTTCTGTCATCGAGAAACGGTGCGGCCGCGATTTTTTTTTCTGCGCGGGCCTGCGCCCACCGGTGCCGGGCCCAGGTCGTGTTGGCCGGAGGGCGTGTTGCCAAACGGGGGCCTCCGTCCATTCCCGGCTGCGAGTAGTTCGGTCCGCTCGCGCCATGCCTGGCATCCTGCCCCTCCCACCCGGCCACTCCACCAGGGTTCTCTCTACTCGCTGGAGGGTGTCTCCCCGGGCCTGGATCCCTCAAGCCTCAAGCGACCCCATCGCGTGATCCGCAGTCAATCAGGGGAGTTGTGTACACTGAGGAAGAAGATACTAGAGCTAATAGTAAGAAAATCAGTCCTAGTACCAGCAGCAATACGAAGAATAATTGTAATAACACGAAGAATGATAATCACAAGAACAAAACAATAATAAGAAAGAATGGAATGGGTGGTCCATGATACAGGGGATAGAGGAGGAGGAGGAGGAGGAGGAGGAGGAGGAGGAGGAGGAGGAGGAGGACGAGGACGAGGACGAGGACGAGGACGAAGGAGGAAGAGAAACAGCAGCAGCAGGAACAAGACTAGGAGGAGCGGGAAGAGCGGGAGGACCATGGGAAGGCGGAGGAGGGGAAAGGAGGAGACGACAACGACGAGGAAGATACCGGATCCAGCAGTGCGACCCGCGCTGGGGCGGGAGTGAACGACGAAAGCAATGCGCCGATCTTGACATGAGGTCGACGCTCAAGCATGAGCACAGTTTCGGCAACAAACATAACAACGCTCCGATTGAACCACACATTGTGACTATAACTCTTTGAGATCCAATGTGCGAGAACACTGCGCGAAGGGGGCGGGAATACCCCTTCACATTGTCAGGGGAAAGAGGAGAGCAGTTTCCATATTGCATCTATAATGAGGGGCTGGAGAAGGGGGGAGGGGGAGGAGAGGGGGCTTAGGAGAGAGAGGAGAAGGGGAGGGGGTGGATGGAGGAAGATGGATGGAGGAGAGATGCGGGAGGGAGGGAGGGGAGAAGGTAGAAGGGAGAGGGGGGGAGGAGAGGGCCAGCTGCGCTCGCGCCAATGTCTGATGTCCCACCCATCCCACCCATCCCTGCGACTGCGCCGTCTCTTCTATATCCGCTCGGGGTGTCAGAGAGGACCTGGAAACCCCCAAATGACCCCATCATGAGATGCGCAAGCAGAGACAAGGGGCTGTGCACATTCGAGGAGGTGAAGGGGCAGCAGGAGGAAGCCAGCAACATCCCGGGGGGAGGGTATGTAAGACACGTTCAGCGACAGAGGGGGCAGTTGTCCCCTGCTGTGGACTGTCGCGCTGCGTTTAACTCCTCACGCTTCACTCCCGCTCACCGCCTTAGTTCATCACGCCGCACTCAGAGCTGCCACGCTGCCACTACCAGCCAGCCTCTCCTCTGCTTAGCCTCACACGTTCTTGCATGGCCAGCAACTGCACTCAGCCGTGCACGCTCCATCATTCAGGCCCCCCCTTACCCAGGGAGTGGCCCCCCTTTGAACCGACAGGGGCTGCAGCCCATGTCGTGCCACCGACAACATCAGGGATCCAGGTCAGCCAGGCTACACTGAGCCAGCTTATTGGCAACAAGGGCTCGTGCGAAGCCCGAAAACCATGTACAACAAGCACGGAGGTCCCGTGGCCCTGGAGGTGCGGGGTGGGCCGTAAAACCTTTGGTTGCAGCCCAGGAGTTGCCGCCATGGTGCACTCTCTCTTTTTTATGGTTCTGTCTTCAGCCATGCCAGCCCCGCACATTTACCATCCACACCCTCTTGGCTTAGCCATGTACCGTCTGCGACAGCCATGCCAGCAGTCAAGCCTAACTTAGGCTTCAGTGATACCTCTCAGCATCAGCTTAAAGCTGACACTGAGGCGGGGAGGTTCGGCATTCGTCGGGATCGGTGGGTACGTGAGACGTGCCAGGCTCTCGAGCGTCGTTCGCTGCTTTGCGCTCTCTGCGTCGCCTGCCTCCTTTAGTTTACTTGCAGTGCACGCATATGTCGACATCCCCTCTTCAGCATCCTCCTTAGAGGGTGTTTATCGTCCTGTTCTGGTGCGTCTGGTGTATCCCTTCAGCTGTCGCCACGGACTGGGTTACTCTCGCCCTTGTGGGCAAACGTTCTTCGCCAGGTGTCTTAGCATTGTTGCCTGTGCACCCGTCCGCGGCCTAGTTTGCTTGCTGCTCCTCCTAAGCCGGCGATTACAATCCTTGCCCACCTTTACTAACGCTTCAGGCATCGGCCCTCAGGCCGCGCAGCGTCAAACAGCAGGAGGAGGAGGAGGAGGAGGTGGCGGAGTAGCAGGAGGATGATCAGGAGGAAGAGGAGGAGAAGGAGGAAGGAGGAAGAGTAGGACCAGAAGGAACATCAACAGCCAGAGCAGTTGTGGGAGGAAGGGAAGGAGCTGGATAACGAGGGGACAGCGGAGGAGGGGAGGGAGAGGGCGGGCCCGACAACGACGAGGAAGGATTCGGATCAAGAGATGTGGTCCTCGCTTGTGCGCGAGCGCCTGTCCGAGCGGCCCGAGCATCGCGCCGTTTTTGAAATCAAGTCGACTTGCAGCGTTCTGGACGAAACAGGAACGCTCCAATCGAACACTCAGCCACGTTGTGGCACCCTCTTCGTTACAAGACAGCGTGCGGGAGAAAAGGGGCCCCGTTCGCACAGCATCGGGCGATAGAGGATATAGCAGTGTTCAAATCAGGTGGAGTTCCCTCGCGCGATATCGGACACCCCACCCCTCCCACCCATCCCTTCCCGTTGCGCTGATGTTTGCTCCACCCGAGGAGAGACGAGAGAAGGGGAAAGGCGAGGAGGGAAGGGAGGGAGGAGTGAGGATGAGGAGGAGGAGGCGGAGGAGGAGGAGGAGGAGGAGACGGACCAGAGTAAGTCCAATATGTATCAACGATGCTGAAAACCACCCTCCCTCCCTCCGTGTAAGTCTTGGATTTTTCAGGCAGGGTGTCTGGGGCGCCAAGGCGAGAGCTCCATGTTGTAAGAGACATGCCCTCCGTCCATGCGACTTGTGGAAATGTCAAGCTTCAAGGTCGTAAGCTGTGAGGGGGTCCCAAGCGGAACGGCCAGCCCCTCCCAAACGACACGTGTGGTTGTGCGACGCGGAGGAGTTGATCTGTGAGGATGAGGGATAGAGAAGGATTAGGAGGAGGAGGAGGAGGAGGAGGAGGAGAAGGGGGAGGTGCAGGAGGATGAGGGATAGGTAGAGGTAGAGGAGCAGGACGACGCCGATGAGGGCGAGGACGAGGACGAGAGGGAGAGGATAGACTCGAGGGCGACGACGACGAGGACAGGGCCAACGACGACAGGGACGAGGACGAGGACGACGACGACCACGACCACGACGACGACGAGGGCGAGGAGGCCGCCGAGAGGAGCCGCGGGCCTGCCGGTCGTCTTGCGCCTGCACAGCTCCCTCGCGGTTGCGCTGCAGGCCCCCCCTCGCCTCCGGAGCGACGAGAACGACAAGCAAGACGGCGAGGACGACGACGACGACGACGACAGCGAGGAAGACGACGAGCAGGACGAGGAGCAGGACGAGCACGGCGACGAGGACGGCGGCGACGAGAACGGCAAGGAGCGCGACGGACACGACGAGCACGACGATTGCACGGGGGGGAGGGGGATGGCGAGGACAGGGGGGAGGGAGGGGAGCGGCAAGGACGGGCACGAGAGGGAGGACGGATGAGGAGGGGGATATAGGAGCGAGGAGTAGGAGGAGGAGGAGGAGGAGGAGGAGGAGGAGGAGGAGGGGGAGGAGGAGGAGGAGGAGGAGAAGGAGGAACGAGGAGGATAAGGATGGCGTGAGGGGGAGGGGGGACGGCAAGGATGAAGAGGACGACGACGAGTAGAATGAGGAGGATAAGGATTCTCTTCCCTCTTTTCCCCTCCTTCCCTCCCTCCTCCCTCCTTCCTCCAACCCTCCCTCTTCCTCCTCCCCGCCCCGCTCCCTCCCAACCCCTCCTCTTCATCCTCCCTCCTTCCCCCGTTCCTCCCTCGCCCCCTTCCTCCCGTCCACCTTCTCCCTCCCTCCTCTCGGCACTTCAGGCTTCTAGGCAAAAGCTCCCGTCGGTGTGAGACCCAGAGCATCAGTGGGCGGACGGACCAGGGGCGAAGGTGGGTGGGAAACTGAGCCGTGGGCGCGGCTCCCCGTCCGCGCTGTGGGGGGTGCAGCGTCCGAAAGACGTCTTGTCGCTGTGGTTGATATCCTCCTCCTCCTCCTCCTCCTCCTCCTTCTCCTCCTCCACCTTCTACTCCTCCTCCTCCTCCTCCTCCTCCTCCTCGTCCTCGTCCTCCTCCTCCTCCCCGTAACCATTTTGGCTCAAGACGGAGCTTACGTCCCGTCCCGACTCTAGAGGCTCGAGGCTGAGGTGGAAAGGCAGCCCTTTCTGCAGGCCTGGTTGCCTCGGTCTGCTTTCAGTGAGTTCCTGGTGGAGCATAGTTCTATTCTCCTCGGTGCGCCGAGGATTCCGTGAGCTCCTGCGAAAGCAGAAAATATATTCCAGAGGCCAGCGGATGACACCATGTGCCGACCATGTGCCGACAGGAAACCGGGGTGGGCGTGTGGCTCGTGCGCGCGTCTGCACGACTGGGCGTCGCGCGTCAAGTGTGCATGTGGGCGGCAGGCGCCGGCGCACATCCGTACACGAGCGGTTGAAGCACGCAAGACCGCAGCGCAGCAGCTCGAAAAGGGCAAAAGAAATGGCGGCCCCGTGGACGCCACCAAAAGGGTCAAGAGCAAGCATGAGACCAGCAAGTTGTCCGCCTTGGAGAAGAATTTGGATGCCCTGGTTGCCTCGCTGTCAAACCCTACTTCTACGAGTACGGGCGGGGCACCGGCTGCTGAGCGGCCATGGTGAAGGACAGAACTGCCAACGTTCAGGAGGCGGCTAAGGTTGCGGACCCGAGCGCTGAGGAATGGCGACAAGCTAAAGTTGCGCTTCAAATTCAGGAGCTCGAGGCCTCGCTCAAAGGTGTACCGAAAGATGACGAGTTCAAGGAGATCCGCGAGAGCATGGATGCAAAGTTGCAGGCGCTGCGCGAGCAGCAGAAGCAGTTGCGACCGCCATCTGCTGCGCACCGTCGGGCTGCGCAAGACCTCAGCAAGGCCGAGGCGGTAGAAGAGCAGAGGCCAAAGGATTTGGATGAGAAGAAGGAGCAGCACGGAGACGCTGCGAGTGTCGATCGAGGAGCGCGAGCAGAGTTTGGCGGTCAAGAAGGTGCAGGTCGGCGAGCTGCAGCGCGAGTTCGACCGCACGGCGCAATCGTTATCCCCTGAAGGTGGTGGTCACGCAGGAGGTGGCGCCAACGTGCCAGTTCCTGGCACCGTCACCGTTCATGATGTCGAAGAACTCCAGCAGAGTGCCCCAGAAGCTGGGGAGTTCCTCACCAGCGAGATGTGGCAGAAGTTGCAAAAGCACGTCCGTGTCGTTCCGACCCAGGCCTAGGCCGATGACCCGATCGGGCAGCAGCCTGGTGGTGCGCTTGGTGCTGGCGTTGCTGGCGGTGCCGGCGGTGAGCCCGCTCGCGGAGGCGGTGGGCACGATGCCGCGCAGTCTGCCGACGCAGACGCTGAAGGAGCTAAGCGCCACAACGAGCTCAGTGCGGTGTCTGCCGGGGAGCGCGAGACATTGTGGGCTTATTGCGAGAACTTCGAAGACTTCACCAGCACATTGGGTGAGCTCCTCGCCACCAGAAAACGCGGCATTGCTGACGACGGTGAGGGCGTGCTACGGCGTGAAGGTGCTAGCGAGGTGGGCGGCATGGCTTTTCGGAGCTGTGCGTGTTTCCTCCCATCGAGGACCAGCGATGTTCCTGGTGGAGGCGCTGCCCGTCCTCATCGCGGCAAGGAGAGCGAAGGTCGGCAGCCCACCTCTCCTGTCAGCCCGACTTCTGAAGGCGCCTGCGCCACGGCGCCGCGCCCGAGAAACGGGGCGCGTGCTCCTGAGCGGTGCGCGCGAGCCTGCTTGCCACGAACATCCTCACCTCCTGTTTCCTCTCCCTTCCTCTCTCCCCCCTCCCTCCCCCTCCCTCCCCCCGTTCCCAGCGGGGCTGGGAAAGACCGGACATTCGACTTAAGACCGGGTTTTCTTTGTGGAGTCTCTGCAACGCGCGAGTGTGATTCCACTGGGAATTTGTTGCCGTTGGTCACAGGTCTTCGCCCAAATTCGTCTCCTACTTCGCAGCCAGTTGTAGGAGCAGCGCCAGGCGAACACGCGAGAGAGTCCTTCAATTGTAGTGGAGGCAAGTCCATGTTGAGAAAGCGACTGACAGCGACGCGAGCTTCAGTCATCATAGTCCAAGAGTTTGGCCACGTTGCAAACCAGGTTGAAGCGATCCAGTCGCGGGCGCAAGTGCGTGGATGGAGTCCAATGGATTTGCCTTCTTGCCCTCCTGCAAGCTTCGATCCGAGTGCTGGCGTGGCAGTTTTTGTTTGCAGTGAGTGCGGGTTGCGACCGCCGCAGGTAGGTCACCGTCAGGTGTGCGAGCGTAGAGTCCAGCATGCGCAGCTAGATATGCCCGGCTGGCCCGCTCTCCACCTCCATGACCTCTACCTCTACCCTTGCGTCGGCCCCAGGGTAAGAATGCGAAGCTGATGGCTGCTGCCGGCGCAGCGGTCGAGAGCGTCGAGGGGCCGCGCATTGTCGGAGGCGACTGGAGCATGCCAGCTGATGAGGTCGACGAGAGCTCCGGGTTTTGCAGCTTTGCAGGGCTCGCGCTGGTAGCTGCGAAGTTGCATGCCTGCCGAGGTGGCGCTGGTAGCGCTGCAATCGGTTTTAGGGTCTGAATGATCCGTGCATGCGCGCGTGCAGGAATGCCCTGTTGGACCTCCGCTGGACTACGCGGCCTCGTCGCCCAGTGCAGCTGCCTATCGCCGGTCAGGGTTTAAAAGTTCAGCATCTGGTGTGCACGGTAGCGCCGGCACTGCCTCTCATGGGCCTCATTGGACCCCAGCCTTCTCCTCCTGTTTGGGATCTCGTGAGGGGCCTGGTTGAGCGGTGTGGCGAGGTGGCGCATGATGCGAAGGTTGATGCAGGGGTGGTGCACCAGCTATTGTCTTACAGTTGGGGCAAGTGCGCTCAGTTGACTGCTCGTTGCGTCGGGGCTTGCGCTGGGGTTGCGAATATTAACTCTGGCGGGTTTGGGCGCCAAGTTGCTCCGCGCTGGGTCAGCGTCGAACGCCCCCTCCCCGATGTGACCGAGGAGAGCTCAATTGCTGTGGGCTGGCAGTGGCTGTGCAATGGCATGTCTCATCTCATCCAACCTCCCGAATCAGATGGCATGTCTGACGCCTGTCAGGGCGCTATGCTTGCTGAGCTTGCAGTTTTTCGTGGCAGCGAGTATGCAAGTCTTGGGCTGAGCACGAGACTTTTCAATTCGGTGGGTCAGGCTCGGATGCTCATGTGCAATGAATTCGCACGTGAGCAGGTCAGCGATTTTCTCGAAGGCACTTCGGCTGACGTTGAAGTTGGCGTACAAGGTGAGTCGAGGGAAGACCAATCTAGCTGGAGCGACCAGTGCAGGACTGCCAACGTGGGAGGAGCCAGGGGCCTTCACGGGGCCACCCACGAAGGTTCTGACCGTTGTGTCTCCCACGGCTGTCCAAGACCCTCGAGGCCCCAGTTCTGACCCCCATGGCGTTGTGCAGCACGAGCTGCAGGTCTGTCGGACGCTCTGGCAAGCGACGCCCACTCCGCCGACTGCTTGGACCCTGGATATCGGGCCAGTGTTCCCCGGGCTTCCCCCCGCGAGACTCGCCGAGTGATTCAGAGTTTCTCGGGGACTACGCCCAGGCCCCATGGGCCAGTTCCACCCCGGGCACTTCCTGCTGCTTGACGATGACGGTCTAGAGGTGTTGGTCGGTTTGTGGCAGTGTTGCGAGGCGATCGGCCTCCCGCCCCAGCAGTTGCTGCGGGTGATCATGCCAGTGCTGCCATGCGAGTGGCCATGGGCTGATAATGCTATATACTGGCACGTGTTGCATATGGCAGCGGTTGCGGCGACCGACGTTAGCTTCTTCCATGGAGGAGGTGGAGCGGAGCGCGGGCACTGGCGGGCGCGTCGGGGGAGGAGTTCGGTGGATTGCGCCCGGGCGCAAGCGGCGAGAGCCGAGGCAGACGTGGCCTCGAGTCGCTTCAGCGTGCTCGTCATAACCGATTGTTAGAGAGATTACGAGACGATCCCTCTGGTCTCGTTGCGAGGTAAGTTAAGTTTCTCGCGCTGAATGTCCCCACTGCACCCATGAAGATCGCGTTTCATGTTTGGCGCGCTCCTCGAGTGTTGCGATTGCGCCAGCATCGCTCTGATGGGGTTGCCCATGCAGAGTTCGGCCCCTTCGCAGGGTTTCTAATGATGCCAGTAGCAAGGTACATGCAGTTGAATCGTTCGACTGGTTCGTTGCTCGGCAGCCCCCGCCTGCGACGCGCGCGTCGTGCACTGACGACTCTGAGACGCAAGTTTCCAGCAGTGACCGTGGGCAGGCTGCGCAGCTTGCGATGGAGGCTGGCCTTGGTTTTTACGCTGCGAGCAAAGCGATGAATGCCTCTGTCAACGACAAGGTTGCTGCGGCTGCTAGTGGCGCCCAACTCGCTCGTGCCACTGTTCGAGGCATGGGCCTAGAGACGGTAGTTGCAAAGCACTCTGCATCGTACCTGGGGGTTGATGATGCCTAGGGGGGCCAGACGGTCAGCCGCTCGAGCTCGCGTGAAACAGCCTTTTCGTCTGCGGGGCATGAAGCTGCGCTTGAACAAACAATCCGGCGGCTCAAAGCTCGAGCCCCCAACCAGGAGGCCAAGCAGGGTCTGGCTAAAGTCTCTCGCACGGGCGTTGCTCCTGCGTCTTCTTACGGATCTGAAGTTTTGGGTTTTTCGGATGCTGAGCTCAACGTTGCGCGACGGGCTTAGTCCAGGAGCGTGCCGCCGTCCCATGGAGGCACGAGTGCCACTGCGAATGGTGTTTTGCATGGTGAGTAGGACACTCGTGCTTCTGTGGGTCCGGCCCTTCAGTGGTGTCGCGTGCTCTGGAATACCCACGTCGATTCCACTCGCGCCCTCATCCCCTTCCAGGATCTCCTCCAGCTTTGGGGGCAGGCTCGTGCCAGCGACGCCGGCGATGGGAAGTCCAGCCGCGGCCCACTTTCGCACGCGACTCTGTCTGCTCGCCGCGCTGGTTGGAAGGTGGTTTCGGGCACCGAGTGGCTTGATCATTGGGGCAATGCCGTCGATGTCAGCGAGACCCCCCCACGCCTCCTCGACCTCCTCCGCGACGGCCTCCAGCGCGAGGCTGAGTTTAAACGGGCTCGACGTCGCGGGCAACCAGCTGGCGCGCGCGCCACGTTTGACCTCATCGGAGGGAACGTGTGCGCGCGAGGTAAGCAGCAGACACGTCAGCAGCAGTTTCTCTTGCTGTCGCGCGCGCGTGACGCTATTTGGATCGAAGCGCGCGCGTGCGATGCGGGGTGTCTCGCGGATGGCCTGTCCATGTGGCGTGGACAGCGCGACGCCGTGCGCCGTCGTCTGCGCACGAGTCCTCGCCCTGAGGCCGTCGAGGTCCGGGGCGAGTTAGGCATTCCAGCGGCGATTTTTGAGGAGGGGGCACGCAGCGACGATTCTGTGTTCACTCGTGGTCTGTTTGTGTTAAGTGATGCGGATGCGCCCCAACCCTCCGCCAGCTCCCACTGCGAGGTTTTGGGCGGCGCAAGGGCCGACTTGGATATGCAGCCTGAGCAGCTGGCGACCCTGGCAGGAAATGCGGCGGCGTTCGAAATGGCGGCAGACGGGAGCTCCACCAAGCAGGCCCTCCGCTGCTTGCATCGCGCGTCGCGGCAATCGCCCTGCTGGAGCACGGCGCCGAATCTCACTCAGCTATTTTGAGGGGCATCGTCTGGGGGGTCTGCCGCAGTCGCCAGCGAAGGCTTAACATGCTGCGGCCGCGTTGTGTGGCCCAGTAGCGGATCGCCTTACTTTTCTGGCCCTGAGTTGCAAAGCTGTAGTTTGCCAGACCCACAGGTCCCCGTGAAAACAGTTTACTGGAACCGACAACTTTGCTGGTGCCCGGCGGTTTGCCCAAGCACTGACAGGCACAAAGTTTGTGTCCACCTTCCATGTGACTGCCCATCGAAAGTTGGAGGCTCTCGAGGCCCTGGAGGGCGATGAGAGGCGTTTTGGTTTTGCGAATCACGCGGTGCATGAGCGCGCGAAGAAGGCTTTTGAGGGGCGCCCGCGGCCTAACCCCAGTTTTTTCTGCAGCGTGTTGAGTTCCAGGATCGAGCCAATGCTTTTGCGAAGCTTGCGTCGGCAATTCTCCCGCTGCATAAGAACGAAGTCAGGTGGACGAGAGCCCCGCTTTTTTTCCATCTGGTCGTAGTCGGCAGAGTCGAAACGGGCATCTTTGGATGTCGTGGCCTGCCTCCTGCTCTCCAGAAGCTGCTGCGTGAACCCATGGGGCGCCTCGTCGTCGCCGTGTCGGGTTCGGCTCTTGGTGTTTCTCGGTTTGGGGCCCGCGGGGGCCCGTGTCGCGAGCAGCAGATTCTGCGTGTGAAATGCGGGGGCTGGAGCCAAGGGAGGACCGCGAAACTCGCCGAGGTCTGCCAGAAGCCAACGCGTAACGGACTGGATGTCCTGAGCCGTTTTCGGCGAGGCCTTGGCCCGAATTTGAAGGTCCGTGAAGTGCTTGATAAGGCGTTGCCTGTGGCGCGATTTGGTTTCGAAGCGGATGCTAGTTCGACGTGCGGTCGGAGTGTTACATCAATGCCGCGAGTTTTCTCGGATGCTCCTTCAGCCCCCGACCATGAGCAGCAAATGGCGGCCTTGGTCGCCAGAGTTGCAGCTAAGGAAGAGGCTGCGCGGGCCTCAGGGGCGATTTAACTCGGGTCGGTTCCCCCAGTGGCTTTGGTGTCGTCACCTCCCGACCTTTTCAGGCGCTGTCCATCCATCCATCCTCCTCCTTCTCCTCCTCCTCCTCCTCCTCCTCCTCCTCCTCCTCCTCCTCCTCCTCCTCCCCCTCCTCCCCCCCTCCTCCCCCCCTCCTCCTAGCCCTTTTCATTCTGGCGCGCTCCCTCCGCTCCGGACCCGCCGCGTCCGAAAGACATCCTGGAGGTGTGAAGCATCGGGCTGCGTCTGGTAAAGTTTCGGTTCGCGCACAGACTGTGCCCTGGCTACGGTCGATTCACGTCGTGTCGACCGGCGGTGACCCCGCCACCGGCGTTCAACACTGAATGCCGCTGGCGACCCAGAGCCGGTCGATGTTGAACGATCGGGCGCTCCGGAAAGGGCCAATCGTTCAAGGTTGAACGATCCCCTCCGTGTCAGGAACCACGCCGGGGTCGACACGACACGAACCTGCTGTAGTCCCGGCTGGCCTGAACAGGCCCGTTGAGTAGCCCGGGGTGCCCTCGACCCCCAACCCCAGGGCACGCAGCGCCCCCAGGCGTATGTGCGCAATCCGAGGCCTTACCAGCCGAATCCGTGTTCCTTCTTTCTCCGCCCCTCCCTCCCCTCCCTTCCTCCATCTTCTCCCATTCCCTCTCCTCCTCCCTTTCAGCGAGCGAAGAACGGTATGAAATAAACTTTTTCGCCGTCGGGGACACCTGCCCCTGGGCGGCCGGAAAGTTTATACCCCTACGGTGCCACCGTAAGGGTATAAACTTTCCAGCCGCCCAAGGACAGGCGCCCCCGACAGCGAAAAAGTTTATTTTATACCGTTCTTCGCCCGTTAACCCTTCCCCCCTCCCTCCCTCACCTCTCCCCCGCTCCCTCCCTCCTCCCTCCCTCACTCCCTTCTGCTTCCGTCCCGCCGTCCCCCCGCCCTCCCCCCTCAGGCCAGCGGCGCCTCGGCCTCCACGACGCACGGCGACTTGGAGCTGAGCTGTGACGGCCGCGCCGGCTGAGAAAGCAGGGCTGGGCACAGTGGGGAACTTTTTTTTTTTCCACCGCACCAGGCTCGCGGAAGTCCCGGGAGCTCGGCGGAGGGAGGCGGGCTCGAGGCGCGAAGCGGCCGCCGCTGCGCCCGGCGAGCTCCCTCCCGAGGGCTCTCCCGACGCTCCCGGGGAACTCAAGGGGAGTGTTCTGTTTTATCCGCTGGGCCACAACGCGCGTTATGCCTCCCCTCACTGTGACCCTGCCCCAAACAATGACCTCCCAGTGCGTCCCTGGCGCTGCTGCAGTGCGTCCCTCCTCCTCCTCCTCCTCCTCCTCCTCCTCCTCCTCCTCCTCCTCCTCCTCCTCCCCCTCCCCCCTCCTCTCTCCTCCTCCTCCTCCTCCTCCTCCTCCACCACAGTCTGTGGTGCTGGACCCACACGGAAGGGGGGGTGGAGGGGGCGTTACGTTATGCCCCCCTCCTCGCCCCCCCCCCCAATCGCCCGTGATCGCCGCGACAAAAAACATGCTCTCAAGATTGCACGCGGTTCGGGAAAGGGTGTCGTTTCACCGACTTGCCTACATCCTGGTCAGTCTTCCTAGTCTCACGGGGCCGGAAACGCCCCCCCCCCGAGATCTGGGCGTTGCGATTCTTGGTGTTCGGTTTTGCTGTCGCCGCGCACAGCCTTGTCGCAGTCAATTCGGCTGCGTCGCGGCCGGTTACTTTCGGACTGTTCGGGTCGGTCGGTTGTTGTGCCGTTGCCGTTGCCCCGTCGTTGCGCCTTTCTAGGTTGCTGGAGGTCTGTTGGTTTCTGTCGGTTTCTTTTGTGCTGCTGGTTTGCTTCTTGATTTCGCTGGGCGGCTTTGGAATTGCTGCATGCAGTCACGACAGCACACGAATCTCCCGATGAGAGCGGCGAAGACCAAGCATGCCCTGAGATTTGGGCGTTGCCATTTTTGCACACCGAGCGTTTTCGCCCGGTTTCGGGCCCCCGGGCCATCACATATCGATCCAGACAGATAGGGTCTAGGGTTCTTGTCGCGATGTTCGCGATGCTGTTTTTTTTATTCGCAGCGTAGGATCTTAAGAAAGACGAGGCATGTGTAGGGAAGGGTATTCGTTCTCGCCTGGACGGGTGCGTCTGTGTGTGTGTGTCTGTGTCTGTGTCTGTGTCTGTGCTTGTTTCTGTGTCTGTGTCTGTGGCTGTGTCTGTTTGTGCGTGTGTGTATGTTTGTGTGTGTGCGCGTGTGCGTCCGTATGTGTGCGTTCTTGTGTGTTCCAGCTTTCTGGCGCTACGTTGCCCAGGGTGGAGAAGGAGGGAGGAGGGAAAGGAGGAATTGGAGGCAGAATAGCAGGAGTAAGCAGAGAAGAACGAGATCGGTTGATGGAGATGGTGATGGTGGTGATGATGATGGTGATGATGGTGATGGTGATGAAGATGACTATGACGATGACGATGGCGATGGCAGTGATGATGCTGCTGATGATGATGATGCTGATGATGCTGATGATGATAATGGTCGTGATGATGATGCTGATGATGATGATGCTGATGATGCTGATGATGATGCTGATGACGATGATGATGGTGGTGTTGATGGTGATGGTGATGATGGCGATTGTGATGATGGTGGTGGTGATGGTGATGGTGACGGTGGCGGTGGCAATGATGATGCTGATGAAGAGGATGAGTATGAGGATGAGCATGAGGATTAGGAAGAAGATGAGTAGGGGGGAGGGAGGAGAACGCGAATGGAGGACGGAGAGGAGGAGTAGGAGGAGGAGAAGGACGAGGAGGAGGAGGACCGAGGAGGAGGATGAGGACGGGGAAGGCGCACGTTGTGAGACTTTGGGACGCCACCTTGAACCTTGAAGAGGGAGGGTATTGGCGGCACAGTCAGACTTGATGAACATGTTTATGTATGAATGATGATTGCGCTGATGATGCTGGTGCTGATGTTGATGCTGATGATGATGCTGATGATGATGCTGATGATGCTGATGGTGCTGATGGTTATGCTGATGGCCGTGATGATGATGACGATGATGATGATGATGGTGGTGGTGATGATGATGATGATGATTACGATGGTCATGATTATTATGATGATGGTGATTGAGATGGTGGTGATGATGGTGGTGATGATGATGGTGTTTACGATTGTGATGGTGATAGTGGTAGTGACGGTGATGATGGTGATGATGGTGATGATGCTGATGATTATGAGGCTGATTATGATGCTGGTGATGATGCTGATGATGATGATGATGCTGATGATGATGATGAGATGATGAGGAGGTGGTGACAGTGAGGCCGGCAGTGACGATGAGGATTGTGATGCGACCTGTGATGAGGGTGAGGAGGAGGACGATGAGGACATCGGTGACGACGAACCTGCCGACCGACGCGCACGATCCTGTCCGAGGGGCCTCGCCCCCACTGCGGGAGGCCCCGCCGAAGGCGCGGCCAGCGGCGGCGCGGCCTTCCGGCTGCAGGCTGTGGCCCGCCGCTGCCCTCCCCGCCGCGCCGCGCAGCGCCGCGCGCCGCACAAGCCCTCCGTGCGTCAACGGTCTGTCGCGGGCCGTCGCCGTCGTCGTCGTCGTCGTCGTCGTCGTCGTCGTCGTCGTCGTCGTCGTCGTCGTCGTTGTCGTCGTCGTCGTCGTCGTCGTCGTCGTCGTCGTCCCCTCCTCCTCCTCCTCCTCCTCCTCCTCCTCCTCCTACTCCTCCATCTCCTCCTCCTCCTCCTGCTCCTCCTCCTCCTCCTGCTCCTCCTCTTCTCGACGAAGAGGGAATACCATAGTAACCAGAAGCTTCGCTGGTCGATCACTTGGCGATGTATCTGTGTGCGGTGCTCGTCACGTTCTTTGCGGTGCTCTTCGCTCTGTTTTTCTGCGCTCGTTGTGCGCAGCGGTGTGGTGTATTTGGCGCGGAGAAGAGCAGCGAGCGGGGAGGGCGTTCTTTGTTGCTGTCGCCCCCCCCCCTCACGCTGCAGCTTGGCAGGCTCGAGGTCTCGAGGGTTCGAGGGCCCGAGGGCTCGAGGGATCGCGGGATCGAGGCATCGAGGCATCGCGGTATCGAGGGTCCGAGGCGGGATTTTGTGTCCATATCCACCGCCTGGAGGGTCAGTCTTCGGAGCCTCGGCAGGCGGTGGACATGGACATATATTTGCACCCCCGGGGGGCCGAAAGATGTCCAGATCCGCTGCCCGCGGGGGCGCCAGGACGTCGGTTCCCAGGCGGTGGGTATGGAGAAATCCCCGCCTCGCAGAGGGGTCGGGGGAGGAGGAGGAGGAGGAGGAGGAGGAGGAGGAGGAGGAGGATAAGGATAAGGAGGAGGAGGAGGCTGGGCAGGCTGGCGGGCATGAGCCGTCCAGGCGAGGTCGCGAGCGCCTCCCACCGGCCAGCAGTGCCAGGGGCCCCGATAGATCCGGCGCTGCGGGCAAGCTGCAGCCCAGATCTCCGACAGTGTGGTTTGATCATTCCGGCCGTTTCTCCTCGATTTCGGCTCCTGTCAGGAGGGGAAAAAACACACAGACACAATTAATCGGCGATTCCCAGAAAATATGGGAAAATATGGGAAGTGGGGGGGAAGACAGAAACCCAGAAAATATGGGAAAATATGGTGGATATTTTTATTTGTGTGTATTTATGTGTGTGTTCCAGTTCCCCTTCATCCTGGGGCCCGTCCACGGAAGATCGCTCCGGGACGGTAAGTTGCCCCCGGGGAAGCGGTCGGGACTTCTCGGGCCAAGATGTCTGGCAGCCAGTGAACAATGTAAAAAATACTTAAACGCGAACCACGGAAGAACTTGTCCTTCACCCGTGGCACCACGGGAGAGCTTTTCCTTCACCCGTGGCGGGTTACGCCGAGGTTGTGTTCTATCTCTTTGCATGGCGGAGTTCAACGTTACGAATGGTTTTCGCGCTAATTCTTTACAGCCACGGTAGTTTCGGCGACTACAATCGGTGCGGTTACGCCGGGGTGCGGTTTGCGAGTTGCTTCGTGGCGGTCTTTCCCGGGGCCTTTGTGAGAGACAAGGTCATAGTTGTCGTCGTTTCGAGCGACGCTGTCATCCTCGATGTGTGCTCCACTGTATCAGAAGGAGCGACGATGTTTTGTGGAGGACGATCAATGAAGGGGAAGCATGCTGCCAAATGATTCCCAGATGTCTGAACCATGTTGAAAAGCATGTTTCAAACATAGAAAACATGTTCAAGACATGTTTAGAACCGTTTGCCGACGCTTTAAGCACATCTTTAATTCAATGCTAGGACTGTTAGGGTGTCCATTATCGTGGTATCCGGAATGATAATGGAGGTTGACGATTAATAAATGACCGGGGGTCGTGTTCACGCGGCGGCGCCCGGGATGACGATTAGAAAAAACCGGCCGCGGGCTGGAAAACTATGTTTTAAATCGTTCTCCTCCAGTCAGAAGCCTGTGCAGAAATAGTCGGGGGCGCTCGGCAGACGAGCTGGGGCCCGCTGCGAGAGGGGGCGCGCGGGGCGGAGGAGCGGCCGCGGAGGGCGGGGGAGGAAGGGGGGGGGCACTCACAGCTGACAGGATGACAGGAAGAGCGATGCCAACTCCTCGAATCACAGAGAGGCTGCGCGAACACAAATTTCGGGGGAGCGCAAGACCCGGGTCTGCCAGGACTCGGGTTGGCCATCGTTCTTTGGCGACCGCGCCTCGGATTCTGACGAGGAGGAGCTTCGTGGGATGCCTGCAGCGGGAGGCCCCGTCAAAGTGCAGGCTCGGCCTCGTCATTTTTCTGACGACCTCGTCGGGGATTTCCGAGTCCCCTGTACCCAGGTCTTACGTCTCCCCGAAAATTAGTCGACGGTCCGCGCGGATTTCTCGCATCGGCGCTGGGCCCCCCCGCTGGCGGCGCCTCCAGCGCTGCCCCCGGCGCGCTCCGCTCCGGGAGGGTGGTCCAGCGCAGATCCAAGAAGTCCGCGCGAACTTCCACACATTCCTGTTCATGCTTTTTTTGATGGGCGTGTTTTCCACCACCACCACCATGAGTTGGAGAGGGGGGGTCCTCCTCCTCCTCTTCCTCCTCCTCCTCCTCCTCCTTCTCCTCCTCCTCCTCCTCCTCCCTCCAACTTATGGTGGTGGTGGTGGAAAACACGCCCATCATTTTTGCTTCAAGAAGTCATCCTCTATAGTCAGAGGAGGAGAAGATGTCGATACCGCTGCCCGTCCCTCGTTGCCACGGCTGGATTCGCTTCGAAAAATCTTGGCCAGAGCGCACCCCGGGAGAGGTCCGTGGAGTAGCGCTATGGGGTATGGGTATATCTTTTTGCTTCGCCAGATGGGGGCACATCGCCAACGCATTGCCGATGCGGCTCGGTATGGAGCCCGATTTTGTCCGCGCCGATGGCGGCGATGCATCGCCGACGTCGCCGATGCATCGCCGATGCATCGGCTATGTATCGCCGATGTTCCGGCGATGCTGCGCGATCCTCCGACCACATCTACTTGGACCTCATTCAGGAGGCTTCTAGCGGGGCAGTGGCAATGGAGAGCGACTCCGAGCAAGGGAGACGGCATAAACATGGACTGTTGATTCGAAGGTCCGCGCGGAGTTACTGGGTCCGCGCTGTGCCGCCGCTGGTGGTGCCTCCAGCGCCGCCATTGGCGCTTTCCGCGCGCCAGGGAGGGGGTCCAGCGCAGGTCCAAGAGATCCGCGCGGACCGTCGAAAGTTTATGTTTATGCAGTTTCAGTCTTTGTTTCCTCTGAATGGGGGGTGACGGGGGCACAGGTTGGGGACTGGGGTCAGAAAAGCGAGCGAGTTGAGGCGGTGCGAGGGAGGAAGGTGCGAGACGGCGAAGGGGAGGGAAGGCGAGAAGGGGAGGGGATACCCATCTCCTCCGACTGCGGGGTCGCAGCTTTGTCCAGGCTGGATTCGCGCGAGGCTGCGTATGATGATAGTCGGAAGCCAGGATGGCGACCACAGTATGGGAGATCGTTGAGGAATCGTTGATATGGCAGCCTCGTCTTCACGTGTCAAGTTGGCAGGCTTCTCGCCCAGGTGATCGGGATAGGAGAGTCGCACTCACCCGGGGCCTCGAGCGGTGCGGAGAGGACCGGGAGGGCAGAGGGCGGCACTGATGACGACAGCGTCGCCGGGGTTACAGGAGCAATTTGCCCAACCCGTCGATTTCAAGTCGCATCGTCTGTAATCATGTAATGCGAGCGCTCGCACAGTCGCGGCGGTGGCGGTCACATTTGCACGCCTCGTCGGCTGCGATGAAGCGACCGCGCGCAGGCTGGCGAGCCACTGAGGCTGACAGGGCTGTGGCCGCGCAGGGAGGAGGAGCGGGCACGGCAGGGGCAACCTTGCAGGGGGGGAGAGGCTCGTGGGTGAGCGCATCGACCCCCGCTCGCACAGGCTTCAGGAGGGAACGAACACACACAGACACAAGTAATCGTCGATTCCCCAGAAAGTATGGGAAAACAGGGGACGTGTGGGGGGGGGGAGACAAAAGCCCTGAAGATATGGGAGACTGTGGGGAATCCTGCTCTTTGTGTGTGTATCTATTCGTGTGTCCTTGGGCCCCTTCAACTCTTTGCCGATGGCGGCCTGCGGGCCCCCGCCCCGCCCGGGAGCGCGCGGCGTCGCTTCCAGGGGGCCCGTCGCCGATCTGTCGTCGAGGTATCGTCGATTCCAGCTCAATTGATGCCCCCTCGGAGCCGGTCCCCCCTGTCGTTCCCCCGCAGCTATCCTCACTCACAGGATGCTGGGCCCTCTCTATCTGTGCCTTCGTCTCGTCTCTCTGGCAGCCTCAGTCCGCTTCCGTGCCCGACGGGTTCTATCTCTCTCGGTCCTCGTCTGGATTCGGCTGCGTGGAGTTCCAAGGTGCAGGAAGGCCTCAGCTCCGAAGGTATCGTTTCTCCCGCCGGCGCTTCTTGTCGATGTCAGCCCTCGGGGGGCGTTTCTGGGCCCGCGGGCGATCGAGTAGTGATCTGGGGCGAAGAGATGCTCCTGGACAATCCGTTGGGGCCCCTGGGTCCGCGCATGGAGAAAATCCCATGAGGCAGCGGGGCGGACGCCGGAGGACGGGAGGTCGCATGCACGAGGTGCGCAGGGAGCAGCCCCCTCCGCACTGCTGACAAATTGCCGGTCGATGCCTTCCGGCTCTGTTCCGCACACGCGTGGCGCGCAACTGCCAGGCGCCTCTGCTTCTGAGCACCGGTATGAGCCCGAGTGCCACTACTACCAATGCGCCCTGGACGTGCACGGCTCGCTCTCTCTCTCTCTCTCTCTTCCGGCTCTGTGTGGGCCTTGCGAGGAGCACTTCCAAGCACGCGCTCCTTGCCCAGAGCGCACTATTTTACAACATGCGTCCGCGCAGAGGAGCCCGGCGGCATTTATGGTCGCAGGCCCTTGGTTACCAGGATTAGCATCCCCTCAATTACCCAGCGCAGCCATATTCTGGGGAAGTATCAGCACAAAACGGCACGCCATAACGTGCGAAAATACGTACGTAATGTAGCAACTCACACCATTGCACAGCACATCGTCGCATAGATAGCGTTGATGCATCATAGCAAGCCATGCCATGGGACGGTTTTGGTGGTTCTGATTTCGTAGCACCACACTGCGTAGCGGTGGCATTGCACCGCCTTCGAATTGCATATGTGTGGCCCTCCTGTAACTTGCTAAAGTATGTTCTGTAGCTTGTTGTATATTGCTGTTGGCCCGCGTTCAGCTCGCTGATCGCCTGCATTGGGTTTGCCTTGGGGCTGCATCAAGAGCACAGAGAAACCTTACGTCTGAATGTCTCGCATATTGCTCTCATCTTGCCTGTTAGCTTGCCTTTAGTGTATGTTTGTCCGCTCTCTGACATCGCTTATTGTTAGTATTGTCTTGCCCCTAGCTTCACCGTGCCATTAATTTGATGCTGGCGTGCTTGCATGTTTTATATTCTAATCGTGCTCGCTCGTTTCTTAACTATCTGAGCATGTTGCCTTACAATGCGCTTCGATTGCCGTTTGCCCGCCTGTGTACGTATCGCCTTCTGGCTTGGCTATATTTTGACGGTGGCCCGGTGGCATTGCCAGTGAACTCGGGCGGGTGTGTGTAGATGCACGTTGAGACTATGAATGCCGCGTGATCTGTCAGTAAGTATCGTCGCGTTGCTCGGGGCTCGAGTCTCGGCAGGTAAAGTACCGCTCGGAGTCCACAGCGAGTTTGAGACTGTACCGTTTCAGCGTATTGGACTTGACGTCAAACGAATCATTGCATGTTAGGGATCGCCGCATGTCACGGGAATGTCTACACATGCAACGTTCGGCATTTGGGAGATGCGGGGTCGAAGTTGCGATGCCCACATGCTTCGCTTTCGAATGCTAGCTTCGCTTGGTCGGTTTGCCCCAGAAGGTCAGGCAATACGACTTACAGCATGCAGTCGACACGTGGCTGCCTCCTCAGAGGTTCGTTTCTCCAACGGGCCGCACCGTCAACACGTTGAAGAAGCCTACGTACGGCGAAACACCGCCAGCCCTTGCCTTTGGGGAGCGCCTGTGTGGGCAAACCTTGGCCGAAGTGTAGTCAAGCTATAAGGCTACTATGTGTTCCCCCAGCCGTTGTGCACACTCTTGGGGGGACATTTGGTGAAGGAATAGAGGGGGGAGGAGGAGGAGGAGGAGGAGGAGGATGATGCAGAGGAGGGGAAGGAGATGACGCCACAGGCTTTGTCCTAAGGCTCGCCCAACGTACAAAAGGGAAGGAATGTGAGGAGGAAGAGGGGTCCTCCTGGGGGCTTCTTGGTGGCTCCTTGGACCCTCCACCCAGTGCCTACGGCACCCTTGCGGGCAAGAGTGGACCAAGCTGGTTTTGTTGAGTGGACATGCTGGCCAGTTTGTAAGTCTGGGCGTATCATTTTGCAACATGACGTCCGGTCCTTCTCTGGTCCACAGGCAGGGGGAGCAGGCGGCTGGCTGCTGACGTGGCTCGTTGAACTCGCAGCAGCCAGCAGCGCGAGCATAGCAGAGAAGAGAACGAGGCAAGCGGGTATGTACTCCAGACTTCGTAATAAAAAGGGAGGGGGTCACAACCCTCCCAGACGAGAAGTTGTAGACCCCCCAGACTATCCATGAAAGGGCGGCCCTTTGCCCAGACCCCCCCGAACCCTCCCAGACAGCTCAAATTAGACCCCCCCCCGAATGTGACCCCCCCCACTTTGTTATGGACTCCGGAGTAGTGAAGCCTGCTACGGCTCTGCCGAGGTATGAGATCGAGGTCGTTTCGGGGAGGGGCCCCTAATCTTTTTCGTGCTGGTGAAGTGTTATGGCGCATCCTGGGGGAGGGTGCCTGTCGAATGTTCTTCACTTTGGCAGGCGGAGGGTCTCATGCTGCTCTCGACGGATGTTCTCCTGTCCCAGGTCCGGCCGTGAGCCTTGGATGCGCACACCAACACACACACACACATTTCGGGGACGGAAAAGAGGGGGGTGATGACTAGGGGGGGGGGATATTTTGGCGGAGGCCATGATATTTTCCCAGATTTCATGGCGCCTCTCCTTACTTCATTACGTCCCTGGCCCCCCCTCTGGGCCGCGCACGTGCCGCCGGTCATGATTTCCCCCCCCCCCTTTTGGACGCCCCCCTCTTGGCCGCTCCCGAACACCGAGGGCGAGCCAGGGAGGCGCGGAGAGGCAGGGGCACGGGCAGATATTCACACGGTCAGGAACGTTCGCTCTGCGTGTCGCGCCGCAGGTTTCTGGCCCACCGCGCATCGGCGCGACGCGCTAACCACTTCCTGATCCCCAGGCGGGAGTGTCCCGAGTTTTTCCCGGCCTCCCGCCCCGCGGAGCGAAGCGGCACGCCTCTTAGCTCGCAGGGCATGGCGTGTCGCCGGGGCCGACGCCGCGACACGCTGAGCAAGAGAGCCCGAACGTACACACAGACAGGCAAACACACACACACACACATTCTGAGTGAGAGCCGGGCAGGTCGCGGAGAGGCAGAGGCATGAGCAGAGATGTATGTATGTATATCTGTATATATATATGTGTATATGTGTATATATATGTATATGTATATATATATATATATGTATATAGATTTGTGTCCGCACGTGCATGCGCGTAGGCAGAACGTAAACTTTAACAGGAAAGTTTGGCATGCGCGTCTGGGTCCGAGCCGTGCTTGTCTTGAAGCTTGTTCTCGATGCGATCCCCGCTTTGCAAGCACAGCGCCTTTGATCAGCACTCTGCGTTCCTCCGTGGAGCGTTTCGGAATGCATGTAAAGAGAGCGAGCGAGCCTCCAGTCTGCAGGTGGGTCACTGGCAGACAGAGCATATACCTATACATAGAGAGATAAGCAACATACTAAAAAACAAGAGAGAGAAGGAGAGCGAGCGAGAGCCAACGAATGATATAGAGAGGTGATCGCATCTACTTGCATATGTAAATATATGTATCCAGTTACAGAGAGGGGCAAACACATGCATATTAACATATGTGGGTATATAAGTATTGATACAGGTAGTGTGTGTGTGTGTGTGCAAGACTGCAGTGGCGCCTCGCGCCACGCACATGGGTCTCAGGTTGAACATACAGGCAGACTGAGAGAGAGATATAACAATCAAAACAGCGATCGCTCTTGGTTGCAGTTTTCGCCATCACCGTTATCCTATGTGCATTCCTTCTCCTTCCCTCATGTGTCCTCTTCCTCTTCCTCTTCCTCGTTGTCGCCTTAATTGCCCCTCGAACCTTTCCCCGTCCTCCTCAGATTTGATTGCGGAGGCTCCTCCTAGGCGAGCTTCTGGAGTTTTAGAAGTTCCTTCGGCGCCTCTGGAGACGTCCCTGGCGCCTTCTGGCGGCCTCTGGGGGTTCCTCGGGCCACCCTGCCGCGAACCGTGGTCTCGGGTCACGGTTTGAATGTTTCCGGAGGGCGTCTTGGGGCAATTTGGGGCCGTCATGGAGCCCTTTGTAAGCAGTTTCTGAGCCCTCTTGGGCCGTCTTGGAGCTTTCTTGGGGAGTCGGGAAGCCTGTTTTGGTCGTCTCGGAGCAGTTTTCGACGCCTCTCGGGCGTTCTCGGACCCCCGTAAGACCGAATAACCGAGTATGTAGCCCACACTCATACAAAAACCCACGGGACATCATTTTTTTCTGCGTTTCCAAACCTCTTGGGGATGACATTTGGGCCGTGTTCGGGTGTCTGGTGGAGGTCAAAGGCCGCTGGGGGCCATCTTGGACTGTCTTGGGTCTTCTGGAATCGCCGCTGGCCGCTTTGCCTCTTTGCACGGCTTGGAAGGGACTTCAAGAGGCCTGGGAATCTCGCGGGACCGTCTGAGGGGGCGTCCAGGAGATCCAGGCGCTGGGGATCCCGTTTCGCGGGGTGGTGGTGGTCTGCATCCCCCGGATCAGTGATATATATATATATATATATATATATAATGAAAGGGCATTATTTGTTTGAAGTCCGCACATTCTGTATACAAGCATGTACAGACAGAGAGATTGTAACATTTTGTAGAGGGAAGTGGCGAGATTCAGGTCGATGAAACGCCCAACAGTCTTTCCTATTCAGACCAATGGGGAGGGGTGTTGGTACCACGACTCTCGTTCTCTCTCCAGCGGAGGAGATGTCAACGCGGATACACATTTAGAAAAGGACTAATCGCCGGCGGGAGATGGAGGGAAGTCTAACTAACGGCTGATCTACACATGTATATATAGAGAGAGAGACATGCATATATACACATATGTGTGTATAGAGGGAAAACATAGAGATAGAGAGGGAGGAACAACAAAGAGACGGGGGGGGGGGAGAGAGAGAGAGAGAGAGACATATATCATGATACGTTTGTGCATCATATATACAGAGCGAGAGGGAGAGAGAGAGAGAGAGAGAGAGAGAAAACAACAAGAGAGAGAAATCAAGAAAGAACAGAACACGAGAGAGAGAGAGAGAGATACACAAAGAGACAGGAGGGAGGGCTTGTTGGGGGGAAGCAGAGGAGGGAGGCAGGGAGGCATGGCGGGAAAGGCCGCGGCAGACGGCGACGGCGACCCCGCCGTGGGCAGGAGGCGGACGTGCGCCTCCTCGGCGTGAGGCTCCGGTGGGCGGCCTGCCCCGCGGTGTGCTTCGTCGTCGACGCCCTGGCGCTGGAGCGCGGGGGGCAGGCCGCCCTGGCCGATGGAGGGGGCGGGGGAGGGAGGAGAGGGGAGGGGAGGGAGAGGTGTGGAGAAGGATGGATGGGGGCGAGGAGGGAGAGACGAGGAGGGAGGGGAGGAGGGAGGGAGGGAGGAGGGAGGGAGGGAGGGAGGGAGGACGGGAGGAGGAGGGGAGGGGAGGGGAAGGAGTCCGGGTTTGGGCGGCGAGACCTTGGGCGCGCGAAGGGGGGGGTGTCGCCGCGGGTGGAGGGGGAGGGCAGGACGGAAGAGAGCTGGGAAAGCGAGGAATGCTCCGTGGAACCAGTTGGTGCGATGGGGAAGCAGCGCGTGCCGCCCAGGTTGCCGCGCGAGGGTGCGTCGCACGCGCGCCTCCCGCGGCTGCAGGAGGAAATCTATTGGGAGGAGGGGGCGTGAGAGAGGAGGGAGGAGGGGGAGAGAGGAGGGGGTGGAGGCAGCTAGGTGCGCTCGCCCCACATCTGACGTCCTGCCTCTACCACCCATCCTTTCCCATGCGCTGTTTGTTTCTCTATCCGCGGACGCGTGTCATAGCCGACCTGGGATTCAAAAAAGGACCCCATCGTGATATGCGCAATCGGAAAGAGGGAGCTGCATACATTGGAGGAGGAGGAGGAGGAGATGGCGGATGAGCAAGAGGATGAGCAAAGGAGGACGAGGACAAACAGCAGCAGGAGCGGGAGTAGAAGGAGCGGGAGGAGCAGGACGACCAGGGGAAGCCGGAGGAAAAATGAGGGCGACAACGATGAAGATTTGGCTCGGGTCCAGACAAGAAGCCCGCACTGGGGCGAGAGCGTCATTCTGAACAACAGGAGGGAAGTGCTGATTTGAAACATGAGGCCCACGCTGCAGAGGGAACGCTGCTTCGAAACATTAACAGTAACCGGGGGTGCAACAACACATCGGCAATATCACTTTTGCAAATCCTGCGTGTGCAGAAGACAAGGCGTGGATGGGGCGGGATACCTCCCGCACGTAGTCTGGTGAGAAAGGAGATTGGTACAGTCAACATTGATCATACTGATGATCGGCTTCCCAAAGGTACCCTTGCATCCTTGCCTCTTCGGTCATCTTCGGTCCATCCTCAACCACTTCCGATGTCCAGCCCCGCTCCCTTGTACCCTTATCGCGCACCCTTACGATCAGGAGAAGGAGGCTTTCCCCCTCCACGACGACGCCGCTCCCCATTCCCGGGCGGATCGTGGGTGCGCGGCAGCTCTTTGCTTCGAGTACGGGATCGACTGCAGAGTTAATCTAGCCCGTTTATGGATTCGACAGGGACACCAATGTTGGGTAAATCAATCATGTAGTCGGTCCCCTACGCAACTGGTGGTAGTCGAGTGGATTGTCGTGGTCGCCGCCAGATTGGCGAAGGGGTCAAAGTGCTTCGCAGCAGGAGCCGCCCCACGGCGTGAAGAACGTGGCATCTTCCGAATGTCTGGCTTCTCAGGATTGGTTGGGCAAAGAAATCGGCCTGCTGCTGGGCCGAGATCCCGTGCAAGCGCGGTGGATTGCCAGTATAGCGAGGCAGTCGAACCCGGGGGGGGGGGCTTTTAGCCCCCCCCCCCCTCCCCCGGTTCCGACGGGGTGGAGGGGTATCTCCCCCCCACCGTTCGAACCTGGAGGGGGGGAGGTTTACCCCCCCTTCCCCCAGGTTTCCAGAAGGGGTGGGTGGGCATTTCTGTCCGAGCAAGCGCCCGCGAAACGAGCTCTCTTCTTAGATTCGACTTGCGAAACGGTAGCCACTTTCGAGGGCTGCTGGGGAGCCCAGCGAAGTGACATCCTACGCGGACTCAGAGTAGACCTCACCATCAATCGGATATTGCGATTTGCATAGCTGTCGCCACGTTCGAGGGTTGCTGGGAAGTCCAGCAGATTGACGTCCACCGCGGCCTCAGAGTAGACCTCACCATCCCTGGGGAGCTGCGATCTGCGAAGCTGTCACCACTCTCGACTGATGTCCTACGCGGACGCAAATTCGACCTCACCATCCCTGGGGGGCTGCGATCTGCGAAACAGTCGCCACGTTCGCAGCAGCTGGGGGGTCCAGCAGAGTGACGTCCTACGCAGACTCAGATTCGACCTCACCCTCCCTGCGTGGGGCTGCGATCTGCAAAGCTGTCGCCACTTTCGAGGGGTGCTAGGGGGCACAGCATAGTGCAGGCGCACGCAGTTCCACACCAGACTTCGCCATCCCTGGGGGGCCGCGATCTGCGAAGCTGTCGCCACTGGCGAGGTTTGTTGGTGATTGGGAGGTGCGACGCCCCGTTGCGGATCAAGACTAAACCTCGCCATCCCTGGGGGGCTTCGATCGGCGAGGCGGTCGCCATTTTCGAGGGCAGCTGGGGGGTCCAGCGGAGTGACCCCCCGTCGCAGATTCGGACTAAACCTCGCCATCTCTGGGGGGCTTCGATCTGCGAGGCTGTCGCCATTTTCGAGGGCAGCTGGGGGGTCCAGCGGAGTGACCCCCCGTCGCAGATTCGGATTAGACCTCGCCATCCCTGGGGGGTTGCGGACTGCGAAGTTGCCGCCACTTTCGAGGGCAGCTGGTGGAGCCAGCGGAGTGACGCCCCGCCGCGGATCCAGATTAAACTTCGCCATCCCTGGGGGGTGCCAACTCCGAAGCTGTCGCCACTTTTGAGCGCTGCTGGGGGGTCCAGCGGAGCGAAGCACCGCGGCAGATTCATCGTAGACCTCGCCATCCCAGGAGGGGTGCGAACTCCGAAGCTGTCGCCACTTTCGAGGGCTGCTGGGGGGTCCAGCGGCGTGACGTTCCACGGCAGACTCAGATTAGTCCTCGCCGTCGCGGACTCCGAAGCCGCCACAGTTTTCGAGGGCAGCTGGCGGGGCAGCGGAGGGACGCTCCCTTGCGGATCCAGAGTAGGCCTCGCCATCATTGGAGGAGCTGCGATCTGCGAAACTATCGCCACTCTCGGGGGCTGTTGACGGGTCCAGCGGAGCGACGCCCCACCGCGGATCAGGATGAAACCTGGCCATCCCTATTGGTGGCTGCGATCTGCGCAACTGTCGCAACAATCGAGGGCTGTTGGTGAGTCCAGTGCAGTGACGCTCCAGGGCGGATCCAGATTCGACCTCGCCATCGTTCCGGGGCTGCGATCTGCGAAGCCGTCGCCACTTTCGGGGGCTGCTGGGAGGGGGCAACGGAGTGACGCCCCGACGCGGATCCAGATTAGACCTCGCCATCCCTGGGGGGCTGCGATCTGCAAACAGATCGCCACTTTCGAGGGCAGCTGGTGGGTCCAGCGGAGTGACGCCCCGCCGCGGATCCAGATTAAACTTCGCCATCCCTGTGAGGCTCTGGACTGCGAAGCTGTCGCCACTTTCGAGTGCTGCTGTGGGGTCCAGCGGAGTGAAGCACCGCGGCAGATCCAGATTAAATTTCGCCATCTCTGGGGGGTTGCGGACTGCGAAACTGACGCCACTTTCGAGGGCTGCTGGGGGGTCCAGCGGAGTGACGACCCGCCGCAGATTCAGATTAGACCTCGCCATCCCTGTGGGGGCTCTGGTCTGCGAAGTTGTAGCCATTTTCGAGGGCTGCTGAAGTGACCAGCGGAGTGACGCTCCGTCACAGATTCAGATTTGACCTCGCCATCCCCGGGGGCTGCGATCTGCGAAACTGACGCCACATTCGAGGGCTGCTGGGGGGTCCGGCGGAGTGACGACCCGCCGCAGGTTCAGATTAGACCTCGCCATCCCTGGGGCTCTGCGATGTGCGAAACGGTCGCCACTTCCGGGGGCTGCTGGGGGGCTCCGCGGAGTGAGCCCCCGCCGCAGATTCCGATTAGACCTCGCCGCTCCCTGGGGGGATGCGCATTGCCAAACTGTTGCCATTTTCGAGTGCTGCTGGGGGGAGTGACGCCCCGCTGCGGATCCAGATTGGACCTCGCCATTGCCATCCCTGGAGAGATACCAACTGCGAAACTGTCGCCACTTTCGAGGGCTGCCAATTGTGGGGTCCAGCGGGGTGACCCCCCGTCGCAGATTCAGACTCGACCTCGCCATCCCCGGGGGGCTGCGAGCCTCGAAGCTGTCGCCACTTTCGAGGGCAGCTGGGGGGGTCCAGCGGAGTCTCGCTCCGCCGTGGATCAAGATTACGTCTCGCCATCCCTGGGGGGGGGGCTGCGATCTGCGAGACCGCTGCCACCGTTGAGGGGTGCTTGGGGGTCCAGCGGAGTGACGCCCCCCCGTCAGTTCACATTAGGCTCACCATCCTTGGGGGGGGCTCCAGACTGCGAAGCTGTCGCAGTTTTTCCGGGACCCTCCGCCTCGGATTCAGATTCAGATTGGACCTCGCCGTCCCCGGGGGGCCCAGGCCACTGTGGCTCGAGCCGCTCCGGCTCCGTGTCGCCCCTCTTCCCCAGCAGGTCTCATCGCAGGCTGAGGTGCCTCGGCGCTGCGTGCTTCCCTCGCGCCGTCGGGGATGGTGTCCCGCAGTCCTCGTGCGCCCGGGCGCGCTCCGGCTTGCTGGATCTTCGCCATGGCGTGGCCGCTGGCTGCCTTCAGGGACGTCGACTTCGACCTCGAGGGCACGGTCTCCGCTGCCCGTGCGCCTGGCGAATCGTTTCATGGAGAACAAGATAACCAAACAATTATTAAAAAAAGCCTAGCAGCGCGGGCGTTGGCGGCAGCAGTGACAGTGAAGGCAATGCGGGCGGCGGGGCCCTGAATCCCGAAGTAGTTCCGCCTGGCAGGGACGAGTTCAGCTTTCTCGTTTGGAAACGCCGTGATGTCAGGATTCGAGGCGGTCGCCTTGGCATCGTGATGGTAGGCTCGTATATAGAGTCGATAGAGCCCGGCTCAAAGGCGGAAAGCGTCGGCCTCAAAGCAGGAGAACGTGTTGTCGCTACGAACGGCGACCCTTTCAAGATGGCGAAAATTGCTGAGGCTTGAGAGCGGAACTGGGCCATATACACTCACGGTGGCTTCCCCTAGTAGAATGGTGACCCTTGCTATGAAAGTGGTCGAATGCCTGACGGTTCCCGCTGCCCTGGCGGGAGGTCTTCTCACCTTCGGCATGATACCGTTCTATCGCTCGCATCAGCACATAGATGTCGAGTGGGAGGAGGACCTCCTCTCAAGATGCTTGGCTTCCCGACCCGCCATAATCTCAGTGGGAGTTTTTGGGTGTGCGATGGCGCTGCGGACGATCTTGCAACGCGATGTTCTCCATGCCGTTTTTTGGGTAAGCCGCGTGATCTATTGTTTCGGTCTCCTCCATTGTTTCGTGGATGGTCTAGCCTCTCCACTGCTGGCGAGTCAACTGCCGGATGCTGTCGTGGCCAGGTGGCGCTCTCTGAGAACAAATGGATGTGGCTGGCGATCACTGTTGCACTATCGTTGCGAGTTCTTCGGGTGGCAGCGTTCTATCGCTATGTAGCCCGAGGGGTTCAAGACGACGAACTGTGGACTGAAATCACTTTCCACCTTGCTCAGGCAGTCCTGAACCTGCTCCTCTTGGAAGTTGTTGCCGCGAGCACACGCGTGCTGGGCGCCGTCGAGCACCGCATCCTGCAGGTGAAGGCCGCGCTGTCGTGCAAGGCCGTTAACTTCTTCGAGGAGGGACACGCGCCGTGCGCAGAGTTGGTACATGACACGGGGCCACAGATGGCCCCATTGGGCTTCCCATTGCCGTACTTCGCGATGAACCTGTTGATGAATGGGGGGCTTGTGTATCAGAAATTGCTGATCACCCTGCATTCTCCGGATATCCCATGGTTGGACAGTAGCATCGCTGGCTACACGTTGGTTGAAGGGGTGATTACAGCATTCGCCATTGCTGTGGCACCTCTTCGCATTTCGGCGGCTCTCGGTGGATTGTGCGAGTGCCTCGGCAAGGTTCGCAGCGAGTCACCTGAAATGCACGTGCAGATTCAGGCGGTGGAAGTAATGCTAGAACGCGCTAACAATGGACACGGATGGGGCATCCATGTCGGCCAAGGGGTTGTCGTCAATAAGGAATTATTGCAGACCGTTTGTGTCAGGGTGTTATTGATGACGACCGCAATCCTCGCATTCATAAGGTCGAGCAGTGGTTTCGAGAAGGCCGAGGACAACGACGCCGTCATCGCCGACATGAAGGATAATATATCTAGCATCCTGTCTATTCTGTCAGACAACAAGGTGAACTTCCACAAGCGCGAGTGAGAGTGAGCACATGGCCTAGAATCAGAGGTTGCTTCGACCCCGCATTATGGCCGAACCGACAGGAGCACAATGCCAGACTTCTTTGCTCACGGGTGCCATCTGCGATTCAAGGATGCGTGGGAGGGCTGCGGTCTGCTCAAAAAGGGCGTTCACAAAAGGGACTCACCTTCGAGGACCGAAGGAGTTGCCATCTCTTCCGCCGCGGAAGGCGGCGGAAGGCCGGCGGAAGCCGGCGGAAGCAAAAGTCGACCTCCCGAGAGATGACAACCTTTTTAGGCTCAGGGTTTCCGAAATCGGCCAAACGTCGCCATTTTCAACGGCTGCTGGGGGTCCAGCAGAAGGACGCCTCACATAGAAGTCAGCGACGCCCACCTTAGCCAGGGACCCCAGATGTGGTTCTGAGATATGGTCGACCGCCGCTGGCTCGCCCGTGATGGGCCCCGGGGTCGCCCACCCAGCCGGCGGCTCCTCGCACGATAGTGGCGCGCGAGATGAACACTTCAATTCTTTCTTGTTCAGCGGGTCTCCGCTGATCAACACTCACCTCCCCCCCCCGCGGCTGCCCAGCGCCAGACGGACAGAAGGGGGCGAGCGAAGGGATTTTTGGGCGCTGGGCAAAGGGAAAAGGGGCGAGAGAGGACGAGGGATGGAGGGGGAAGGGGAAGGGGAGGGAACGAGGGAGAACGAAGGAGAGCATGAGGCAAGAGGCGCGCAGAGGCGCCCGCGGCCCAGCCCGGTCTGCCGGCCCCCGGCTGGCTCACGGGCGTGGCCCCCCCATTTCAGCTGCTGCGCCGTGAACGCCGGGGGGTGGAAATAGGGCCCTGGTCTTAAGTCGGGCCTGTCCCCTCGACGAAAAGTACAGAATACCCCACACATAGTCCGAAAATAGTCCAGAAATGGTCTGGGGACTATTTTTTCCCTACCTAGGCTCTGCCTAGAAGGGTTCTTACTCGCTTGGCTTAAAGGGGCTGGGCAGTGCAAACCGCCCCGGGCCCAACATAGCATAGCATTGCGCAGCATAACATAGCAGAGCAGAGCAGAGCAGAGCATAGCGCAACACAGCATCCACTATTGCTGCTCTCTCTCTCTCTCTCTATATATATATATATACACGTATGTGTGTGTGCACGTATGTTCCATATATATATATAATGTATATATATATGTATATATGTATGTGTGTGTACTTGTATATGTGTGGTGTCGATGTAGATGTTGGTGTAGATATAGATGTAGATGTAAAGAACTCCCCAGTGCCCCGCCCTCATCTCCGTGCCTGCTTGCTTTTGCTGCTGTCTCGGCGACTTGCTGCCTGCTCCTGCTGCTGGTTCACTTACGGCGTGGCGTCGGCGGTTCTGGCCCTACAACTACTACTACTACTACTACTACTACTACTACTACTACTACTACTACTACTACTACTACTACTACTACTACTACTACTACTACTACTACTAACTACTACTACTACTACTACTACTACTACTACTACTACTACTACTACTACTACTACTACTACTACTACTACTACTACTACTACTACTACTACTACTACTACTACTACTACTACTACTACTACTACTACTACTACTACTACTACTACTACTACTACTACTACTACTACTACTACTACTACTACTACTACTACTACTACTACTACTACTACTACTACTACTACTACTACTACGCTACTGCTACTGCTACTGCTACTGCTACTGCTACTGCTACACTACTACGACGATGAGGAGAAGGAGGAGGACGGCGTTTACCGCTCCTACTAATGTTGCTTTCCTAGAGGCCCCAACTCCTAGGTAGGGTCGCACTGGGATAATGAGTATTTTTGTGAGTTTGTTGGTGTATTTTTTGGGTATGTTTCATTTTTCGCGGATAATCCCCCTGTAGGGGGACACGCCCGACATAAAAATAGGGCCTTGGCCTGGCTTCCTTAGCCTGGCGCCGATGATCTCGCTCTCGAGCGAAAGCTCGGACGCCAGCCAAGCGGAGGAGCAACGCAAATGCAGAAACAAACGGCACGTGGGTCGGCGCTGGACGTCCGCCCGGTGCTCTGCACGCGCCGGGGGGAGGGACGCCCGGCGCCGACCCAAGAGACCAGCGCGTGCCTCCGAAAAGCGCTGCTTCTGCCGATGTGTCGTCGTTTGGGATCCCAGGCCCGACAGGCCAGCCTTGAAACGAGTGCGCGCGGCGCTGGGGCGAGAGCCACATCTTGGAAGCGAGGGAGGACTCCTCCTCCCTCCTCCTCCTCCTCCCTCCTCCTCCTCCTCCTCCTCCTCCTCCTCCTCCTCCTCCTCCTCCTCATCATCATCATCATCATCATCCGTAGCCATTTGGGCTCAACATGTTCACGCCCCGCGGTGTCCAAATGATACCGCTGAACCGCGGCCAGCTCCGGTTTTCTTTTCGGTCTTGCCACAACCACGGGCTTGCAGGCGCCTATCTCCATATACGTTCCTCGCACTGCTGTGTGCGGTGGCCTCCATATCCCGCGCTGGACAACAACTCCTCGCACCACCACCTCCATCGAGCTGCTGGTCGACGAGCCCCACATGCGCGCCAAGCCCGCCGCCCCTTCCGTGGCGGACGTCGCCATGCCTGCCCCCGCCAGCGACACGGCCGCCGAGGACAAGCGAGGCAAAGGTGGAAAGGACCCCTGGCACGACGGTGCCCTCAAGCTTGCCGCCAGCGAACTACCTGCACATCTACGACACCAGCTGGAAGAAGCTCTTTCTGCGCAAGTACACCATGCCGCTAAAGAATTCGAAGCCACCGCCAAGTCCGTCGTCAACGCCGCCAGGGGGCATCTTCTCGAGAACACCACAGCTATCGCAACCGACTTCAACACGCAGCATGCGAGAGACGAACGAGACCTTGCTGATGCTAAGCGAAGAATTTCCGCAACAGAAGTGGCCACCAAGGAGCCCCGCGACTCTGTGGACAAACTCCAGAAGATCGTTGCCGACGCCGAGCCCCGCGGCACATGGGATCACCCAGCGGATCCATGCACATTCTGGTTTGGTGCTGCCACCCCATTCGACGTCGAGGACTTCATTATCCCGGCAAAGCAACCTAACAGCGATGTGCAGGAGCATATCTGGAAGCATTCCCCTTAAGATTCAGATGAGAATCCAGTTGTAGAATTCTGCTGTTCTCGCAGTCGTAGTCGCATTCGCGATGACAGTCGCAGCGGCAACGGCATTCGCAGTCACAGCCTCAGCCTCAGCCTGCCTCAGCAGCCTGCCTCAGCCTCAGCCTGCCTCAGCCTCAGCCACAGCCTGCTTCAGCCTCAGCCTCAGTCTGCCTTCAGCCTCGGCCTCAGCCTCAGGCCTCAGCCTGCATCAGCCTCAGCCTCGCCTCGGCCTCGGCCTCAGCATCAGCCTGCCTCAGCCTCAGCCTGCCTCAGCCTCAGCCTCAGCCTGCCTCAGCCTCAGCCTGCCTCAGCCTCAGCCTCAGCCTGCTTCAGCCTCAGCCTCAGTCTGCCTTCAGCCTCGGCCTCAGCCTCAGCCTGCCTCAGCCTCAGCCTGCCTCGGCCGCAGCATCAGCTTGCCTCAGCATTTAAAATGTGGCCCAGGAGTGCGTCTGTGGGAACTAGAAGAACATGAAGTGGCCTACAGCTTGCTCCGGGCATTCAAAATCATGCCCAGGAATGGAGTTCTGGGAATTCGAAGAGCACGAAGTGGCCTACAGTTGGCTCCGGGCATTCAAAATGTGGCCCGGGAATGAAGTTCTGGGAACTCGAAGAGCACGAAGTGGGCTACAGCTGGCTCCAGGAATTCAGAATGTGGCCCGGGAATGGAGTTCTGGGAACTCGAAGGGCACGAAGTGGCCTACAATTTGCTGCGGGGCATTCAGAATGTGGCCTGGGAGTGGAGTTCTGGGACCGAAGACCACGAAGTGTGTAACTGTTTGCTTAAAACGACTTCCGCGGATTCTCCCCGGCACCCGTCTGGCATCTCCCCAGACCCCCTTGGGGCGTCATGATGCTCTCTTTTGAACCTACTAGAAACCTATCAGTCTTCGCTGTTAGGTACAAAAATCGCTGGGATCATGGTTCGCCGACGCCAAGGTCACGCTCGACCAGGTATCTTTCAACGCTACTGGTATTCTCAGACGCCACAGCTTCACCCTCAGTGGTGGCACAGCCGTTGCTGAACCCCGTGCGCGTCGTCTTCACGAAGCATTACACGTTGGCCGAAGTTGGCGAGAGCTCAGCATCTCCATCGGCAGCTCACCCCCCCATTCCTCGATGCGTCTCGGCCGACAGAAGTCCTCGCACAGTCCGACGAGAAGTTCAACTCAAACGGCTCGGGGCCCTCATCAACCAGCGCTTCGACCAATACTCACTTCGTCTTCAACGCAGCCAAGGATACATCACATACGAGAACGAAGTCATTGCACAGCGCATCGTGGGAATCACACACGACGAACCCACCAAGCTGCGGTGGACAGCGGCCGCAGTCCGACTGGGCATCAATGATGAAAAAGCAGACCAACATCCGCATCGCCTTCGAGAGCTCCTTCTCCGACGCACTGGCAACAGCGCAGTGGCTCTAGTCCACGCTGGACGCCGTGGCTCATCAAGCACAACGACCACGGCATGAACATCGCATTCTGGAACATTCAAGCACTACATGGAAGATCCGACCAGCGTCGCCAAGCTAAGCGCCGCTTTCTCAGGCCGCTCCTGCGCCAGCGTGCTCTGACTGCTCTACAAGAAACCCACGGCTCCGCCATCGACATGGAGATCGTAGCGCGCTCCTCGCAGCACAAGTACATGGCCTTCCACTCCAGCATCCCGAACTCCGCCGCGGCCGGCGGCATTGGCTTTCTCGCCCCCTTCGACCAGGTCGAGCTAAGCCGTCCACCCGAAGAGCGCCCTCGGCGACTGTTCGCCGAAATCGTTCCAGGGCGAGCAGCATGGCTCAGAGTCGCAGACACCACCTGCTCATATGACGCCACCGTGCTCAACATCCACAACCACGACC